AAATTGTAGTCACCATGCGGAAAGTCATGTCTTCTCCGTCCTCCGAGATCCAAATGCTTCTGGTTCGACAAATCGCGAAGATTTGAATAGTTCTCTACCACTTCTACTATTCAGCCTGAAGCAAAAATACAAGGATAAGTTATGGTTTCGTGACAAACTGAAACTAACGTTCATCAGACCAAGCTTCTCCAGATATGAAATGCCAATGTCATTCGGGGCATAGTGAGATGTCACTCACAAAGAAGACAAACACGCGGTAAGGAAAAATTAGGATTAGATTACGGATAGGACCACTGACGGGATCACGGACCAGATGTGAGAAATTCAAATAATTTAAGGATAAACAAGGAGAAGGAGGGCAGAATGATTTTCAGTCAAGCGGTTTTTTGGCTATCTTATAGATCAATATTTCTGTTTTTGTGCCAAAAAAGCTTCGGTTTTTCTGATTAGTATTCATTGCGGTTGTCCGTTTTGAGTGGCTACTGCATCCTCTAGGAGGCGAAGCCACATATGTGGTCGAAATGAGTGAGTGAGTGAGTGAATGACAGAATTCCGATGTTTACCCAATTTTGACCCGTTATTTCCCACTGCTACTTATTGTTTGGTTGGAGAATCTTCGCACTCGATACACTGTTGAGTTCCCTCCTTTTGTGAGTTCTGGTTAAAAGACACTGGCGCATTATGTTTTCAGTTCTTGCCGTGACACTACGAAAGACATCAGAAGACGATAAACATCTCACAATCATTTCATGATTGGGCGCTATTACAACAAAACTTTTCTTTGCAGAAATATCTTAATAGGTGTGATCGGTGCACCATGAGACAAATAGAAAACTGTTCTTGGAGAGCTTGCGTATAAAATACGTGCTGAGAGTAACATCATTGGCACCCTAAATGGTTCCCAAGGTCATGTCCTTGCAAAAACAATAAACTCTGTTTATTTAAGGAAATGGGGCCAAGGAAGACAAGAAGACATTCCAGAAAAATTATGACTCTCTCTTCTCTCACACATTCCCCTCTAAAAATAACTTTGGAATTATGGCATAACTCGTATTAAAAAACAAAAGAGTGATAAAACCTGAAACAGCTTTCTATGCAGACATCACAGTTCTAACACTACTAATAAACACTGCTTGCATTCAGACTTGTAATTCTAAAATCATTGATTGCCCATACAAAATTTAAATCCGTTTAAATTTCCAACGAAAAAACCCTGTTTTTCAAAGATGTGCTCACCGAAATTGACACCTGAAACTGCAAGCAACGCTTGAAATACTCGACTGAAAAGGATAAAGGTTTACGTCGGCCAATTTTTCAAATTAAAACGGATTCTGTTAGAGGAAAGATAGATCTGCCATTTGCCGTGCATTGATTTCTCGTGAGTTATAAGGGTTTTCAGGAAATCGCTCGACCGAAGTGACCGAATTTGGAGTATTTTCAAGTGCAAAAGGATGATGCTTCTACTTCGTAAAAATCGTTCATTTTAGGTGCAAATTGTAGGTACATCTTTAATGTTCAAAAAGCCCCGCGTTTATTTAGAAGCAAGTACTTTTTAAAATCAGAATAGAGATTTTTACGAAGCCTAGTGGGCCAATTATGGTCCATCATTCAATCAAAGGCTCTTCAAAGCGAATTTGCGATCAAATTTGCCGCTTTATCTGTTTTGAATAATTAATTAATGTCTACGTATTCTGTCCGATATCATTTACTCTACTAACGTAATACTTCTAGTGCAAAACTGCATAACATTTCTTTAAAAATACAATGATATAATGAAAATACCGTAACTGGTTTACAAAGTAGTACAGCTATTACGATCAACAACACGGTAGTTTATCCTCGTATGGGAGAGTGGGTAAACCTCTCATTCTTGGCAAGGGTGGACCGCCTGATTCTTGCAATTTATACCCGATTTCCGAACACGACGGCTGTAAGACCCCTTGAGGTAGTACACACTTTCATGGCTTACATGGAAATGAGAAAGGAGGTTTAAATCACGCTAAAAACTACTTCTGCGCCATTTGATGTTTACCCAAGATTCTCTTACTTTTGCTAGACATGAACGTCAGTTTTAGCTATTTGCAAGCGCTAAACAGCCAAATAACCCCGATGTAGCTTATTCATAAAATCCTAAATTTAACATATCAGTTGCAAGTCTGAGACCAAAATGTTCTAACAAACTAACAGCTAACCAACAACTTACTCCCTGACTTCATTGGCTACTTTATGTCTCATGGTGCAAAAACAAACAATCAAAATAAATTCGGCAACATTACCAAAAGTCTTTACACCAATGTTTTCCAGTGCAATGCCCAAATGAATGTCGTCGTCACACGAATCCACCCGTCCCTCGTTTTTTAGAGCTTGGCAATAATTTTGTGAGGCATTCTTGATCATCGCACGCACAACATCCAAGTTAACATCAGGAAGATACTTGGAATATCTCTCAGTAAACAGGTTATGGATGGGCGTTAGAGTGTACTTTATTGGAACTGGATTCTCTTGGACAGAGGAAGCCCACGTCATAGCATCACCGTTGCTCGGGGGAGCTGCTCCTACAGTGATTGTGCTTATTCCCACAGACTTCTGA